ACTAACACGTTCTGGTTCAATTGAGTTTTTCTGCAAATTCTAAGGTATACTTTGGTGTAACTCCCCAGGGAAAAATCATGTCTCCCCTAGTCCCTCTTTTCATTAAATGAAAAAGGATGTGCGAGGACTCCAGCTACTGGGGGTGTGGGAGGATCTCGGCCACAGAGGGTGTGGGAGGACCCTGTAGCTCCTCAGTTTGAGACAACCTCCTCTCTGCCGCAAATATTGTCTGGAAGAAAAGTATATTCCACCCAATTCAAGGCTTTTTCCTGGACAATCTACACTAGGGGTCAAAAACCTTTCGGACCTCAGGGACCAGTAAATTCATAATTTTAAATCCTGCGGACCACTAATATGAATTTTTTTAAAAAAAAGATAAATAGTATTTAGTGCAATGTAAAAAAAAAATGCAAATAACTTTCCTGCAGACCACCAAAATTTTCTCACGGACCACCAGTTGGTGACCACTGATCTCTACAATTGTTTTGCGATTCTCAGGATTTTCACCCTTGGTACCGTACCCCAAAAGGAGGAAGGGGCTGCACACCAATGGAACATACACATTCACACTCTGAGGAGAGTTAACAGTGAGAGAGATGGAGAGGGACCAATTTGCCTGGGGAACGGAGCAAGGATTTGGATCTCCTTAGTGAAGGAAATTTAGTTTTGGAGCACACAACTCGACAATTCTTACCATCAGCATCTTTAGATCTGCTCGTTCAGCAGGGTTTTTAATTAAGCTGTGGGGGGAAAAGTAAAAAGAAAGTTGGTCAATTATGATCACTGCAAAATGCCCACGTGTATATTCCTTGGGGGGGGGGGAGACTAGCCCCATTGTTTGGGGGATGCCAGATGCACAAAGCTCTCCTCAGCTGTCCTGATCTACATCCATCCACATGGCTCCGTCATAAACAAGGTCATACCAAGATCACAGCTGGTACCTCGACTTACTTCCTCTAGCAACCATTCAGAGTCATGACGGCACTGAAAAAAGGGACTGACGGTGTTTTTTTTCCACACTTCTGACAAGCAAAATCAATGGGGAAGCCAGATTCACTTCGCAAGTGTGTTACTTAATTTAACAACTGCAGGGATTCCCTTAACAAACATGGCAAGAAAAGTCACAAAATGGGGCAAAACTCACTTAACAAATTTCTCATTTGGCAACCTGGATGCTGGGCTCAATTGTGGTTGTAATTCAAGGACTACCTGTATGTGACTCCCTAAAGTTATATAGGTAGTCTTCGACTTACAACAAAACTGCAATTCTCTAATTCAATGTTCATTTGAAGTTACAACGGACTGAGAGAAGTGACTTACAACCATTTTTCACACTTACGACCATTGCAGCATCCCCGTGGTCACGTGATCAAAATTCGGACGCTTGGCACCTGACTCGTATTTATGATGGCTGCAGTGTCCCCGGGGAGACACATGATCCCCTTTTGCGCCCTTCTGACAAGCAAACTCAATGGGGAAGCCAGATTCACTTAACCGCCGTGTCACTAACTTAACAATGGCAGCGATTCATTTAACAACCGTGGCAAGGAAGGTCATGAAGTGGAGCAAAATTCACTTAACAGATGTCTCACTTAGCAACAAAAATGTGGGGCTCCATTGTGGTTTTAAGTCGAGTACAGGGAAGCCTCATCCCGATGGAAAGAGAGGAACAGACAGCTTTGCTGAAGAGCATTCAGAAGTTACCTTTTCTAATCTTCTGATGAAAATAATCTGTCGCTACCAAGGAGCCCTGGAACTTGGACTCAGACTAACTTTGGAACCTCCTCCCAGAGGGGAGCCAAGAGAAACAGACCGTAAAGTGGGTGCGTGGGGTCTCTAACAAGGCTTCGAGCTCTAAGCACATAGTGTTTATAAGCAGAATCCTGAATAATGGGAAATGAGCTTCCTATGATCTTCTCCATTGTCCTCACCACTCACTGTATGGACTTTCTATCTGAGGCACTGATACCACCAAACCGAACAGTGATGCTTAAGATCCCCATTTGCAGGCCTGGCACCCAGAAGAGAGAATCCCTCATCCTGAGCCTGCATGTTTCCAAGAGATACATTCACACAGACTCCTGAGCTCCTAATCCCAAGGTTTTATATTTCCCACCAATAAGTTTGAGACGTCTTACCATTTATTTACAAACTCCTGGAATTCTTGGGTGAAAACCCCAGTCGGCAGTTTTGGAGGTGGCTGAAATACACAGGAAAAAAAATTTAGGCTGAGGAGGTTCTGGAGAACAGTTTAGGAAACAGCCTTCAGTCAATGGGTTGACTTAATGATAGTGGCATTTGTTTAATGACCATGCAAAAAAGATCATCGATTCCAGTCAATCACAGGGGGTAAACCCTTTAAGATCACCATGACTCAGGACTGTAACAAACAGGCTCCATTATGGTCATAAGCTGAAGTCTTCCTGTATGTTTGGAGAAATTTGAACACATTTATGTACAAGGATCCAATCCAAATAAATGGATCCTTAGCATATTCTAATATCCTCAAGTCTTGGGAGGGAGTAAACATTGAGGGATGAAAACTGATGATGTTACCTAGTTGGGTTATGAAACGTCTGCAAGAAAAGAACCAAGCTCAGAGAGCACCAAGGACCCTTACAGATCAACCCTAAGCTACAAATAGCCTCTTCTATTTGGATAAAAGCTCCTAATTTCCACTGGCCGAGAAGAAATGATAGGGATGGAGAACACTCAGCATGGTTCGGGGCCTAGGCTCTGAAGTCCCCTTGCTCTCCCGAATCTGACAACGCTCCTCATTAGTTCACCGTTCAAGACCCCAAAGAACTTGGCATAGTAACAACCTAGTAGCAAAGTCCTCTCCCCCAAAGTGGCCTCTCCACAGAATGGGATCAGGGGTGGGTGGGCCATTCTTGCTCTCTGCCCAGAACGGAAATAGTCCCGAGGGAGCCACAGAGTTTCCAGGGACTCAAAGTCATGTTGCTTTCTTTCTTCCAATGTATTTTATTTCCATCTGCACTCTCTTCCTTGTCTCTTTGTTTTTTTCCTCCGCAAAGCCCAAACAGAAGCCTTCATCTCTGTGACCTTCCCTTTTTATCTCTCGTTGGTCCATACCAAGAGAAATTTCCTGGTTTTCTTCCTCCTTTCATTTTGAAAGGCAAAAACGTAGACAAGAAAGGCCCAGCCCACCTTAATTCATTCTTTCTTTCCTTTCTTTGTATTTTTAGAGAGACTGGAAACATATACATTTTACTGGCAGCGCCTTATTTTGAAACGCAATCAGACGTGAACGACACTCTGGGGGAGGGCAGATTAGACCAGTTGTTCCCAGCCTTTCCGGCTGGAGGGGAGGGGATGGCTCCATGCAAGTGGCAGGTGCCCATGCTTGTGTGTGCAACTCCATCTACACAAGGAGTGTGAACGCCACTCACACAAATGGAGCCTCGCCCGCAAGCACCTGCTGCTTGAGTAAATGGAGCTGCGTTCGCGAGCGCTCGCTGCTCATGGAAATAGAGCTGCACATGCGTACGTGCTCGCCCGCTGGTTGTGGGGCTCGGTTCCAAACAGGCTGGGGCCCAGTAATGGGGACCTCAGGCTTAGAGGCTTCGAACATGTGGATTCCATGAAGTGGTATAACAGACGAAGTGGATTTTGTCTACTTTTGTCAGGGCAACCTGGTCTACAACTATGGGGCGGAGCATGCTGCTTCCATTTTCGCCTTTCAGCCCCAATCCAGGCACCTTCGCGGGCAGTCGCTTTCGCGAGAAATGATTTTTGTGTTGAATTGTTATGTTTTACCGACAAAGAAATAAAGGAAGACTAGTATAGATCTCTATCAAGCTATTTAGCTCTCATCAGCTAGCCATATCCTTTCTGAAATTCAGTCCCGGGCTACTTGCATATTAGGTAGATGTATTAACCTGTTAAGCCATACTGCTCCCGAAGCAGTATGCTCCATCCCATAATTGGGTAGATCAGGTTTGCCCTGACAAAAAACACTTAAATCTTTCCCCTGGTATAGCCGACAAAGAAAGGAGAGCCTGTGGCTTAGAGGTTAATACATCTACCTACTATGCAAGCAGCCCGGGTTTGAATCCCAGAAAGGGTATGGTTAGCTGATGAGAGCAAAATAGCTTGAAATAGATCTATACTAAAAGGTTCCCCTTGCACATATATGCTAGTCGTTCCCGACTCTAGGGGGCGGTGCTCATCTCCGTTTCAAAGCCGAAGAGCCAGCACTGCCCGAAGACGTCTCCGTGGTCATGTGGCCGGCATGACTGAATGCCAAAGGCGCATGGAACGCTGTTATCTTCTAACCAAAGGGGGTTCCTATTTTCCTACCTGCATTTTTACATGCTTTTGAACTGCTAAGTTGGCAGAAGCTGGGAGAAGTAAAGGGAGCTCACTCCGTTACGTGGCGCGCTAGGGATTCGAAGCGCCGACCTTTCTGATCGGCAAGTTCAGCATCTTAGCCACTGAGCTATCGTGTCCCTATGTCGATCTATATGCTAGTCTCTATACTAGTTCTATATTAGTCTCCCTTTATTTCTTTGTCGGTAAAACATAAAAATTCAACATAACAGACAAAGCTTAAACTGTTTGGGAGCTTTTATTTAATAAATAGATATTGACAGAGAAGGGCAGAGAAGGCTCACAACGCAGAGCAGGCTGACCAGCCAGGGCACCTGGCCCCAAAACACGAAAAGCCAGATATTCCACCAGGTGTTTAATCCGCCCACCAGACTGTTTTAATCCCACGCCTCAAGGAACTTAAAGGCATGAAAGCATAGCGACCAGCCCACAGTAGAGAGTCAAAACGTCTTCTCCCGGCCACTCACCTCATTCACAATGTAGTCAAGCAATTCAAAAATGGCCATGGCGGGGCGGCTGTCTATCCCATGACCTGCAAGGTTCAAAAGAGCAAAGTGTCAGAGTATGAATGAGTTTTCATAGACTGGAATAGACATGGCAACAGGTCAGCCAATGGGGATTGTTTGGATAGACATGGTAACAGGTCAGCCAATGGGGACTGTTGGAATAGACATGGTCAGCCAGTGGGGGCTGTTTGGATAAACACAGTAACAGGTCAGCCAATGGGGATTGTTTGGAAACTGAAACATAATATTTATATGGGGTCATGAGAGACAGTTTGGATCTGGGCATGGCTTAGACTTACTGAACTGTGTATAAGAATTGGTTTGGCCTCTGTAACCATGCAGCTTCTGTACAATAAATGCCCTCTGTATCTGGCTACTCTGTAATGACTTGTTTCTATGAATATTGCTTCTGTGTTCCTGATTTTGTATATTGACTTCTGCTGTATGGTACTGTAATAAAGACGTTTCTTATATAGAATTGAATCCTGCTGAAATTCATTTGCTTGTGTGCTAGCTGAATGTGCTGCACAAAACTCTTGACACAAAGTTGGGATGAAAAACTGCAGGCAAAGAACACGCCAAGAAGCGTGCCCGTCTTCAAGAAACCACGGGAATATTTAAGGAGGGCAGGATCCAACACCAACTGGTAGCCTGGCTGGTTGGCCTTGGAACCTAAAATGCCTGCACAAAGAAGCAGCAACAAGCTTCTGAGAGACAGGTAGTCCTCAACCTTAGGACCACAACGGAGCCCGGCATTTGTCATTAAGTGATACATTCGTTAAGCGAGTTTCACCCCATTGTTACGTTTCTTGCCATGGTGGTGAAGTGAATCACCGCAAGTTGATAAGTCAGTTACCTGGTTGTTAAGTGACCGTGATCGTGAGGATGCTGCAATGGTCATAACTTTGAAAAATGGTCCCCGAGTCACATTTTTCAGTGCCGTTGTAACTTTGAATGGCCACTAAACTAAGTTGTTGTAAGTCAAGGGTGAGCTGCAGTCAGTCCCAGCTTCTACCCAGTCCCAGGAGTTAATATAAGTGAAGGGAGACATAGGGCAGAAGGCTGGCCTGAAACAGCCCATCCCATCTCTGATCCACCTTATTAGTCTTAAATAATGACCTTGCTGGTGACCTTTAACCTAAAGAGCCAAGGTGGCGCAGTGGTTAAAGTGCTGTACTGCAGCCACTTCAGCTGACTGTTATCTGNAGACAATTAGTTCATTCCTGCATTCTTGCCAAGTATTGCGGCCGGTAATTGTGAACTGTCTTGAAAGACTGTGGGCCAGGACTTTGCTGGAGAGGAATTCACTGTAAATTAAATAAAACCGGTTGAAACGTATGACCGTTGACGCTTCCCAAGGTCGCGTGATCCCCTTTTGCAACTTTCTGAGAAGCAAAAGTCAATGGCGGAACCCAGATTCACTTAACAACCGGGTGACTAATTAATCAAGGGCGGCAATTCGCTTAACGATGGCAAGAAAGGTCATACAAATGGAGTCAAACTCGCTTAACAAAGGTCTCGCTTAACAGCAGAAAATTTGGGCTCAATTGGTGGTCTGGGACTTGCCTGGGTATTTTCCCCCCGTCATTAATTCAGTTCTCGTTTGATAGTTTGTTGACGGAGGGGTTGGCTGGGAGCGGAAAGCCCCGTTTTTAAGGCCTCTGTCGAATTTCTGTTCCTTGTAGATAGCGGACCCCTCCTTCAAGGCACACATGGCTTTAGAAGGAAGTCAAACCCACCCTGCTGTTTCACATCACATTTGGGTCACATGTGCTTATTCATGACTTGAGGCTCTCCGGATCATATTCAGAGTAAGAAATGCAAGTGGAGAAAAAACTGGGGGATTATCTCACCAGCACAGAGCTGGATACGATTCTCCTGTCTGGAGATAAGCCGACAGACAAGTTCTATGTGGAGCCCACTTTCTGTTTCTATAAAAAGCTGTGTTTTTTCAGTCTTGGCTGCTTTAAGATATGTGGACTTCAATTCCCAGAATTCTGGGAGTTGAAGTCCAGACATTTTAAAATGGGAGTTGGTCCACACAACTCTGGGAGTTGAAGTCCACACAACTTAAAATTGCCGGGGAGGAGAAACATGAATTCAGAAACTCATGTCCCTGTTTCCCAATGGATTTTTCCTTCTTTCTGAAATCTTTTTAAGGATTTGTGTTTTGGGCAAGGGGTAATTCAGAAGGAAGTACATTTCTGAGTTCTGACAGCTTGGGATAATTTTAAAAATTGCACGGAGCTGGCCCATTTTTGTCAGCCAATTGAAACAAACAGCAAAGGGAAAATCATTTTAGATTCATTTTTAGAACTAACTAACTAACTAACTAACTAACTAACTAACTAACTAACTAACTAACTAATGGAAAGGAAGAAAAACGTTGTGCTCAGTCAAAAGAGACTGGGAGCCATCAACGCAAATGGCTATGAATGAATGGATGATGTAAATCTGGCACAGTTAACTGGTGGCATGGGAGGATCCTGGCTTACCGGGGGGGAGAAGACCCTGACCACTGATGGTGTGGAGGGCCCAGCCACAGGTTGTGTGAGAGGACCTTGGCCACTGTGGGTGTGGGAAGGCCCTACCATTGGTGGTATGGAACATCCCAGCCATCCTGAATAACAGAATAACAAAGTTGGAAGGGACCTTGGAGGTCTTCTAGTCCAACCCCCTGCTTAGGCAGGAAATCCTATACCGTTCCAGGCAAATGGCTATCCAACATCTTCTTAAAAACCTCCAGTGTTGGGGCATTCACAACTTCTGGAGACAAATTGTTCCACTGATTAATTGTTCTCACTGTCAGGAAATTTCTCTTTAGTTCTAAGTTGCTTCTCTCCTTGATTAGTTTCCACCCATTGCTTCTTGTCCTGCCCTCAAGGTGCTTTGGAGAATAGCCTCTTCTTTGTGGCAATCCCTGAGATATTAAAACACTACTATCATGTCTCCCCTAGTCCCTCTTTTCATTAAATGAAAAAGGATGTGCGAGGACTCCAGCTACTGGGGGT